CATTACTTGGAAAGAGGACATTGTTTCACTCCACTAGGGAAAAGAATGGGCTACCTTTGACGGATTACTCATCACTTTGCTTCGCGGATTCGATGTGAGCTTCAACCAGGTACGTATTGTATCCGGCCCTGTAATCCCAAAAGCCAGGACTCATTGACTGTAGGGCCTTTTTCGGATTGCTGAATTACGAAAAAAAGCAGGAGGGGATCGTAGCGTCAACCTTTACACCCCAGAACGAATTGAAGCGTTTGTTGATCTTCTTATTACTCCCGTGCTCTGCGGAATGCTGGTCCTTCCAATTGTTGCGATGTACAGTTTGAATATTTCCGGGGCCAGGTCCGCGTACAGATCGGCAGTAGTAGTTCTCATTGTCTTCACTCTTATTTTTGCGGGATCGATGCCACTCTTCACCAAAGCTGGCCGGAACGAGATCTTTGCGGCAGCAGCGGCATACTGTGCAGTCCTAGTTGTGTTCATTAGTAACTTCAGCACTTCGCCGCATGCTGATTCGTAGGGCGATGTTATGCCTTTCAAAAGCTCCGTAGCAGAATATCTTTCTCAAGGGGGTCTTGTGACGGATGAAATCCTGTAATTATTTCCAAAGAAAGCCGAGAATGAAGGATCTTTCGTATGCTGTGTGATAAGAAAGCTGTTTACTTTGCTAAAAGTAAAGAGGAAAATGATGCTTTTAGTGTACTTCTTTTTTGTTATAGTAATGCCTTTAATAAGCTATATTTAGACTAACGATCTTTTTCTTACACTCATCTATGTCACACTTGTTGCGGTCCGGCGAAGTGCATCCTATCGCAGAAGTTTCGACTTCAACTCTAAGCCCTGCAAATTTGTCCGTTGTCGGGCCATCAGCAACTTCGACCATGTTGATATCCTCTGGCGGAGGAGGAACCCTTTCCCAGTGCTTAAAGCCATGACTTTGAAAGGCTAGAGTAAATAATATGGATAGCAGTGTAGATACTCTCCTAAACGGGTACGAAAACACACGCATGATTGTGGTGTATTAGATCGACCAGCGACCAGCGAAGAGGAAAAGCACTCCGATAAAAAGGAGTAAAAGAGAGATAAGAATTTTTCAGACCGATATTGGTAAAGCAAACTGGAGAACTAGACAGCGTCACTGCGCTAAGAGGCGTTCGACGGGAGATGACCATTTATTAAGGGGTGCCTTGATCAACATTGTGAACACAGCAATCGGATTGCGGTAGAGGCCACGCTGGAGCTCGTTTTACAATTTGAGTTCCATTCCATGAAATCCCACATCGTGTCGATTCTAAGCGAAGACTGTGCCGCTTCTCGACGCCACTTGTAATGCCTCCCACATTCTAGTATGAGGATATTCAGCGGCGAAGACGAGCTTCTCTGTCAGATTTGCCACCTCTCCATGATAGATTTCTTCGGTAGAATGCATCGGCAAGAGACATTGCATTAATGAATAGCGCAACGGCAAAGACGACCTGGCACTGGAAATCAAGCCTAGAATACCTAGAATACCCGGCTACATGTGACTACAAGGTGAAGATCATTGTCTCATAAACCGACCTGGGTTCAGGAAATAGAGAGGCGTCAAGAAGAAGACCAGATATCAGCACTCGATAGCATGGAGAATAACCGCTGACGGAGGTGAGAATTTATCATGCAGTTTACCAGTGGAATGTAATTGATCCATTGACAGTCGGCCTAGCATCAGCCCACTTACCATCCGTCAATTTTTGCGTGAACGTAAGACCTTGGATTGGGAAGGTAATGATGCGGGACTGCGTTTTCCAAACAAATGAGAAGACACGGGATATTGCGGCAAGGCTTCGACGGCGCAACTATGTTGGCAGGAAGTGGCACATACCTAGGTACCTACCTACCTACTTAGGTAGATAGAGAATGAGCAAAGTATGACGTAAGACGGCCAGATTCAATGATCGCTTGGCTACCTAGGCACCAACTTGTCAAAACCTGCATGTCGTTCATAGCTAGTAGCTGAAGCGCGCCAGTGCTGTGCCCCGTTCAAAGCATTGCACTCGAACGTAGGCTTCTCGTTTCATTTCTCCCTCTTCGAAAAGATGAACGAACAAGCCTCATCTTTGCCTTTACCTCCGGAATTGGTGACTAGAATTTTTCAAGCATTGCCATGCTTCTTGGACGTATTTAATTTTGCGAGCACAGCCCGTCGATTCAGAATCATCTGGTGTGAGAATGCACCTTCGATCTACGAAAGGGTTGTTCGGAGAAGTATCCCGTGCCATCGCCATGCGCGTCGTCTTCTTGCCGACCAAGGAGGCCCTCCGGTCGATTCTGCGACATTATCCATGCCAGAAATCCTCAAACTGGCGCACAATGCAGCACTTGTAGACAAGGCGATTTCGAGATTCGAAAGGGATGTCGTTCGCTATGTGCGTTGTACGTTCTCAGCACTGTTCACAGGCTGGTGCCTCACGCCAACGACCGGGTTATAATCTTAGTCCCTTATCCCGCGGAGCAATTCTACGGACCTACATCAAACCACCATCCTCCCACTTTAACGCAGACTGAGCGACCACGGTTCATACGGTCATACTATCAGCTATGGAGCTTGAAAAAGCTTTGCGCCGCCGAACAGGAGTCGAGGCTCAAGGCCATGATACTCAAGCGGTTATACCAGCTATTTGAGATGTCCATGCTCGACCAGAACATCGGCTGCGAAGAGGAGGAAGACATAACGTTGAGATGGGAACAGCGGCTCACTCTGCAGTTCAAAGTCAATGGACAGATGGACCGGATTTCTGGACATCTCCGACGTTGCCCGGCGCCGCGTGTTGACCACTATGGGGCAACAGAGGGATCTTCAACCTTTGTGAGCATGTGGGATCATTGGCAGCCGAGCTTATTCGAGGTCGTTTGCTGCCGGAAACCAACGTGGAGATGTCTGGACTCAGAATTGGAGAGACTTGTGCTGTGGGACAACAGCTCCGATGAAGATACCTAGAAGCTGAATGAAGCCCTTGGAAAGGAGAGGTGTCACGAAGTTACTACGAAGCAGAAGAGTGGGCTAAATTTGGTACGATGGACATTCATACAAGGAGCGATCGTCTCTGGTGGTCTCCTAATATACGTTACGCGAGAAACAATGATGTGATATCATCTGAAGATGACGAAAAGCGGACCTTGGAAGCTTGGCTAACGATATATGCTGCGCTGAAGTGTTCTGAAGAAAATTTAGACGACGTCCTTATATGCCAGAACATCGCAAGCTATGTCGATAGCAAAGTCGCCGAAACGGCCCTAAACACTAGGCTCCGAAACGCAAAAAAAGAAATGGTACAGGCGAATGATGCGCTGCGCTGGAAGAATACAGAAGAGCTCAATGCTTCTAAAAGTCTACGCAAGTCGGCAACGTTCCGCGTCCATGCACCAAGCTCAACGCCACGGTGTAACAAAAGCGATAGCCGCACTCGTAAAGCTTTGTTGGCATCCGTTTCCTATAAGACAAACAACACGGCATCGATTCTACACGCCTTGCCTGGTAAAAGTATCGAGCAGTATGATCCTAGCAATGTAAAAACTGCGTTAGATATGGCAACCCACGGCTCTCTTCCGAACTCCTTTGAGCCCGTGATCGACGCTTTGCCCCGCTCACATTATGAAGGACGGCAGCTTTTTTTCAAGATGTCATGTTGTAACGGTATCTCGGCATCAAATGCTGCCCAAAGACTTCAGGAAAGGTTCCCCATACATCGTGGTGATCTGTTGTGGTTTCTTGATCAATTTCTTCTAGAGTTCTGGCCTTAGGGTGGCTCCATCATTTGCGCAGACCCTTCGATCTTCCCTGTTTTAGACTCCGTCTGGTTTAAGTTGTTAAATTTTTGCGATTTTTCCCAATTCCGTCTTCATCCCTTTGCAGAATATCTTGATATAATAGCCAGACGCGCAAGTCAAGGCACCTGCACTACGATGCAGGCTGTAGTGTCTCTACATGCAGACTTGAAGATATTACGCGCATCTGTAACCAAGGAGTCTTTCGTGAAGTACACGGATACAGTCTCAAAACAACAGAGACGATATACAAATTTCATAGTTGGCACTGCTTGCGCCGGGGGTCTTCATTTTGCCTAATTGATTGATGGGTCAAAACAAACATTAGAGGATAGACTTCTTAGATCTTCTAAGAATACCGAGTTATCACGTGCTGCTCCTAGAAAATCATATCATGCGATCAGGAGGCTGTAGGCGTGGTATATCAATTGGTCTGCTTTAGCGGTATCGGTGGAGGGTGAAGTGAGACACTCAGAGTTATAGCGACAATGCTAGTGGACAAACTTGTAGTTTTTAGACATATGACATATGACAACAGTGAGAAGGTACATTGGTTTATTTCAAATGATGCGTACAAGTCAAGCTAGAAAGCAAGCGTTCATACAATACTTCTGCATGTCTCTATCAAGTTTTCAACATTTCAATGACTCACAGCATACTTTAGGCACTCTGCCCAATGCTTTCCCAGATTAACGATCTCATTCCTATCCTCGATTTTTGAAGCCTTCACAAGATCAATTCGTACTGCTGAGATTTTCGTCGCAATTTCTCAAGGTCTAATATCGGGGTCTTGCAAGTTTTAAGCAATTCAAAGTTGCGGCAAACTACACGCAGTGGCTCTGGAGCACTAAATACGGAACAAATTGACAGATTTCCACGTCAACGAAATGAGAGATCTATTCTTTGTTCTGAGAATGTTATGAGAGCGCTTGGATTTTTTTGGACTCGACGGTCAATCCATGAGTTAGCTGCGTTGATATAGACAAAAAGAGCCGCCATCAATAGAGAGGTATTGAATATTATACCTTAAACCCAGAGTCGAGCGCGAGTATTTGTTTGTAGACTGATGATAGATACAAAAAATAAAAACCGAGTGTCAGAAAAAGTTGTGGGCAATGTAATTGAGGGAGGGTTAAGGCTTAGTGCTTGGAATCAGTTATTACATTATATAATATTTTCTAGATGGTTCGCCATTTAAGTTGTCCGAGTTGGTCTAGTGGTCATGAGTGAGCGCTTCCAACACTCTAATGTATTCATCGCTAATTCGTATAGTTTCCGCTTGTCATTGTCAAGCGCGGGAGACCGGGGTTCGATTCCCCGACTCGGAGGTTTTTTTTTTCTTATTCTTATTTTTACTGCCGCTGTGGTAGGTCGAGTTTAGCTGCGGGGTAAAAGGGGCATTATTTCAGTTTTTACCCAACTGCAGCAAAAAACACCGAACTATCCTGGTATAACTTTGGACAATTATCAACACACTTAACAATCCAACGCCGTACATGTGTATCTTTCCAGACTCCTTCCACTCTGCACCAAAGAAGCATCGGTCCAGAGTTAAGTAAAAAAGAAAAATTCTTTCTCTACTTTTACAGAGGGAGGGAAAAGCAAAAAGAAATGGTTGTGTAGTCACTACGAGGATCGAACTCGCGACCTTCTATAGAATTAGGAGTGCGTTTTTAAGGGATAGTTTGGGAGGAGAATCACCTTGGCGTCACAGTTATTATTAGCACCACCTATAAGATGTTAGATTTGCCTAAAGAAAAGATCTCCTGGTACTCACGCTCTAAACCAGCTGAGCTAAGCGACTGTTGATTCTCTGCAATGCTTTGATAAAACACTCTATACTAAGAATATCTCTCCTCTTTAAGCCTCTTCGCTATCGGGTCAATATTACCAGTTGGAAAACCCCCCCCCCGCCACATTGTACTATCAGGCAGTGATATACCTTCACAGTTTGAATTTAGGTGCGGAGTAATAAGGACTGTGTTTTACTTTCTACATAACTCTTATAAAAGATTTACAGCCCCTTATTATATAAATCAGGAAATATTTTCTTGAAAGAGTATATTCTTTAGCCGATTTACCAGAACACAGATTACCAGCAAAGGACTTAAAGTCGCGGATAATAAGGCCGAAAACGGTAGCTGATTCACCGGAACATTGGAGCAGTTAATCAAGTAATAAGGACGCACTTATCTAAAATTTGGTGTCAACAGCATTCTTGTAACTTATTCATGGTAAATCCAGCTTATTTGATAGAAATAGATAGTAACATCATATGAACGAAGGCTCGACAAGAAATTACGCTTTTAACAGGGAGGTCTAGATAACTGTGTCCTTATTCCCTGTTGGGGCACCCCTCCACCGTAAGGTCCCTTGTGTACCGTAGACATGTGACCTGAATCTAATGAATTTTTGGTTGTTTAGGTAACGTTGTTTCTCTAGGATCGTGAGCAGCTAGTCGTAAAATTTGCGTCGAAGTCGGGCTGAAATGGGTGTATCCAAGGAATACGCCATAATTGCAAGATCAACAAAAAGACATTCTGGCAGCTTACCTTCGGGTTTTCAATAGACAATCAACGCGGGATAGGAGCCTCGCGATCTCGTTACCAGTCTTGAAGAACAGAAATAATGGGTGTTCGCTCAACACCCACCAGAAAACAAATAAAGCCAAAAATCTCTTCTTCCAATCAGAGAAAACATACTCCACAAAACCAAATAGAAAAACTTCCAATCTCGCTCCATTATATAGGAGTCGTGCATAAGCTACATTATGTGTGCATAACTGCAGGTACAGTATCTCTGGGCCAATTAGCACCGGTTCAGAGACCGGGTACACACTATGCTTGCGTGGCATTCCACAATGTCGAACCATACAGCAGTCAATCAGCTTACTCGACGAATCCAAGTCTGCGAGATTCAGCGCAGTCATGTGCTTTTACGAAGTTGTTGCCTCAGAAAGTTGGTGTTTTGGTAAATCTGCTACCAATTTCGGCCCAACTAGCTGCTGCTTTATGTGCCTCCGCATGTAGAGTCCAAGTACAGAGCAATGGACACCTTGTTCCATCCAGCGTTGTAAGAAATAGTAAAGTAGTAATTACTATTAATAAATAGCAAATTGTAGTAATTATCAAATAGTATTACTATTTACTATTACTATTACTTAGTAAAATAGTAATTACTTAGTAAGGTAGGTACCTACCTCTCATTTCGCCTAGTTGCACGTGCAGCTAGCTCGCGCACTAGCTTTTTAGTTACCTAGAAGACTTGTTTGTATCGAGCCTAACTTTCGCATTCGTCTCTTAACATCTTGATTAGAGACATTGAGATAGTTGTTCAACTCATTTTCCTTAACGACTAACGTATCATCTTGTATATATTCCAAGAGCGCGCGGAAATTGTTGGCACAAGCGCTTTGAGATTGGAGTTCTTGTTGCAACAGACGTGAGTTGGTGTTCACTTTTGACAGAAGGTTTAAACTGACAGAGTCTTTCACCTTTGCTCTCGGCGTACCTAACTCGTCGTGCTCAATCGTGAAAAGGGTATCAGAAGAGATGTGATGCCAATAACGATCGCTAGCCATGCGTTTGCTTGCGAATCCCTTCACGTAACTCCAAAAACCATGTTGTGAACACCAGATACACGCATCCGAGGGCCCAAATGTCACATTGGGGACCAATTTCAATATCGCACTCTGGCGAACGATATGTAGCCGAATTAGGGACTATGCCGCGTTTTCGCTCCGACTTGATAACTGTCAATGGTAAACTGGGCGATGCCGAAGTCGGTAATTTTTAAAGTACCGTATCTACCGTTCAGCAATCGATCGCAAAACCAGAGAATGTTCTTGGGCTTGATGTCTCCATGACGGTCATATAATCTTATCGATGCGGATGGAGTTTGTATCGTGTTCGAGTTTTCCTTTGCGAGCGAGCTTTCATAGGACATGGTAGTACTCGATATACCTTGGAGGCCGAGGGGGTTAGTGGATGCGAGATCCTGACACTCAGGAGGCTGAATTCGATGCGTAGCTATTGATAAAATAAAAGTCAATGTAACTAGTAGTCTCTGAACCTTAGTTGATACTGTGAAACTATTAGGAATACTTAATAGTCAGGAGTTAGTTGTTCTTATTATTGTTAAAGCATCATAAGAGCATTGTTAGAGCGTTGTGAGACTGCTGTTTGCCTAAGGTTTTGGCTAATTTGGCCAATATTTTGACCTTGAATTTGTAAAGGCCTGCGGGAAGCTGCTGCAGCTGCGCACACACACACACACACATAGACACGTAAGGTATCCACAGCATTACAGGGGTAGGCCTGCGGCACTGATCCTAGTGATGGACGTGATCTAGTCCTTCGGCTACCGGCAAGTCCTTGACATTGATCGATCAGCCATGTCGCCGTGCTCGGCTCAAGTCTGGTCTCTTCCCAAAATTGTTCGAGGTCTGCATCAGCCCATGAAAGAGCTGCTTCCCAGGAAGGAAGGAGCTCTCAGAACTAAGACAGCTTTTGAGAAAGAGTCAATGATTTTAAGAAATCGTAGCCGCGAAGGACACACGCACGAGCACCTCATAACCCTTTTGGGGACGTACGAACAGAGCCTTTTCAAAATTATGGTGGTCGGGGTGGAGCTTGGTCTCATACACCTGGCCAAAACCACCTCTCTCTAGCGGCTTCCAAGTGAAGGGCAGGATTTGGTGCGGATGCAGTTCAAGATGCGGATTAACTTCTTCCCTGGCGTTTTCAAATACAGGAGCGAGAACAATCCATTGATGCTCTAGGAAGTGCTTTATAGCGCCGCTCTCCCAACTCTTGAAAGACCGCAGCGGTAGATTGAGGCTCTTTTTCGACCTCAGATCCAAGCGGGCCCCTCGATTTTTATTTGTCAGTACTTCTTCGAATGGAAGGTCAACATCGCAGATACCTTCGTCATGGAATGACCAAATTTTATCTGGTCGTCCAATGAACACCAAGATCGCAAAGATCTTGCAGTATGTTTTTTCCTCCGCGAGTTTCGAGAAAAGCTGAGAGTCGGATCTTGAACGGCTGTAGATGCAATTGCGCCGATGCTTGTGTTCTTCAATGGGAATGCTGATTGGTCCCTTCTGCGACCGAGATCCCCTCGGAGGAAAGTATTCTCGTCTGGCGAGTTCTTTTATCAACTGAGCTTTGGGTGAAGAAACTTTGATGTTGTAAATTGGGTGGTGAAAGCTTGTAGATTAAGCTATGGAGGCGAGGTTATCTACATACGTAGCCAATTCACGAACCCCACTCCTATTAACGTGATAGGATTGCCAATTTCCTAATAAGATTGCCTTCTCACACATCACATGCAACATCAAACTTCCGATGTTCAAGGTACGATGGCTCCATGGCTGCTTTGAGTTGGTCTTCTAGCCGATTAAAAACGATACTTCGCGAATCTAACCAGAAACGACTTGGTCGAAGTTCTTGCCTCAATCTTTTCCCCAAGTTAGTCACTTGACTGATATCCGAGCTGGAATCCGAATAACGTAACTGAATCAGACTATCAATTGTACGAGATCTTCGAGGGAACCCCTGAATGGGTCTATTATGTGACACAAGTGGTTCATAAGTCCCGGGAGACCCAGTAGAGGTTGCTGAAGGGATGGAGGCTGAAGGTATAGTCACAATGTTAGACGATGGCTCTAATACAAGTCAGTCATTGAGTACTGCATTCGTGGGCAGATGGAACAGATGCCATTCTCCTCGTACAGCTTACCTTCTAAAACATCCCAATCCGAGAGACTTTTGTCGCGACGGGGGTGTCATTCCTATGACTGGCCGCTTTTAGGCGAGCTTGTTCGCTTGTTGCCTCCGGGGCGAGTAGTTGTCGCGGACGATGCCGGGTATCACTCACATCGGCGATGCTATCCAATTCTTTCAATGGTAGAACTGCTACCATGATGCGTTTTCATTCGAAAATAAAGGATACCGTGCACTAGGACCAGGTCGACGCGATAACCCAGCCATCAGATTTGATGTTCGCGATCTATGCTTCGCCGAATGAGCAAAACCCTTACATGATATGGCTATGTAACTGGAGGAAGAGTATGGGCGCAGGGCTGAAGCATCTCTATACATAGCAATCGCATTCGGCAGAACCTATTTTTACCTTATTGATGGCCTCCAAACATGTCGGGTCACCTGGACAAGGTGGAGGGCATACCAATGGACATCACTATATGAAACAGGCGTCAATTCATTTGAAAAGTCCTCAGGAATAAGCGAACGAACTCCTGATGTGCTATAGACTTACGAATTGCACAGTCCAGCCCTCATCGGTGTCTTTAACGTCACAGGATCGA